TCTCTCCTCTGCATAATGCTAAATTTCTGTCAATTGCTTTCCTTTTCTTTTGACAGGCAGTCTAAACCAGGAACTGGACTGTCCGGATGGCTGTGCTGCTATTGCCAAGAGGCTGGCAAGCTGCCATTCTTTTAAGAAACTTTGCCTCATCCTGCAGAGAATTTTTTTCAGCTTTCCCTTCTTAGAATTGTTTGTTCTTGGAGGGCCTATCTTCTGCAATTTCATTGTTCGAACATTCAAACTGAATAAAATGTCCAAAATGTGTGTTTGGAAAAAAAAATACTTCATTCTATTACCATGCCACCAAATCTAGATATAAACGCTGAATATCACACTTCACTATTTCATAAATTTTGTTTATATATCATTAATTCCTGGACAACTGTTTCCTTATTTAAATATTTTAACTCTAATACTAGTTTATAAATGGATCATTTTGGGGGGGGGATCTTTTTTGATATAATAAACTTTTAACTGTTTACGACTGAAACAAATTGAACAAACAACCTTGCTTATTCAAGTTTTGTTTCTTATGAGTTCTAGAGAGTAGAAACACCTCATTTTTAGAGAAAACTGCATTCAGAATTACAATTTAGGGAGGACACTTAATCTATTCCTGTATTTTCAGACTTTATGTCAGATTTTTCCCATCCTAATATCTTCCAGATAGATTGGATTACTAAATGAAGGTTCAAACTCCCATAATTTCCAACCCTCATAGGATCTACAGACCAGCCTAGACATTATGTGTAAAGATTTAAGAAATTGAGTTATGCAGAATCTAAACAAATCTATTTATATTTTCAGTGGATAGCGCAAAATTTTCTGTTATTCTTAACCAGATTTCCAGTCAGATGTGGAAACCCAATGTAGCTCAATCTATAGACATATAAAGACCCTTTTCCACCTCCCTTGAATGAAAGCATGATTTAACAACTTTGGATTGTCTTATAACTTTTGTAATTTTATAATCTTCACTGAGTGACACTAAAATAATTGTAGCCACCTTGTACTTCTATAAGAGTTATGAGGTTTTATGAAATTATTAGCATCTTCCAATTGTGTATTATGAAACTGGCTTGAAACAATAACTGAAATGACATGTTATTTTCTGCACTGCCCTACCACAAAAACAAGGACCAAGTTCTTGATTGTTCTGTATTAACCACATGGATTTCCAGAGTCCTATGGCTACTCATTTCTTTAGCATCCTATCACATAGGTCAATTTACTTTTCACGTATTGGGGCTTCAGAGTACTTACCAAATTAAACACTTAAATTATTTGTACGTGAATACCACTGCTATAGAATGAAAACAGAAAAAGCATAAGGTAAGTATGGGGGAGTTTCTATCCTAATCAGAAATTTGTTTAGTCCACTGGATCCCATTTCCAAATTCTAGGGAAAAAATTGACAGATCCTGAAGCATAGACATTGATATACAATGTGGCTCATTTCTGTGAAGCATCCTGAGCCTTTAATAGCTTGTAACAACCTTTAATGTCAAAAAAGCCCCACATATGTCCCCAAACATTATATGCAATGAAAGTCATTCCTGCAATATGCACTTGAGTAATATGCACAGGTCTTTTTCATCTGAAAACAGGCAAAAACAACTATGCATTGGTAAATCAATTTTATTCCAGAAGATACATCATTGGTAATGGAATCAGGTTTCTTTTAAGGCAATATAATAATATATCCCAGTATCTAGGACAAGACATAGAAAATTATCATAGCCTTCATATTGTTTCAGTTACCATGATAAAGTAAATATATGTGGGGGAGAAATATTCTAACCACCATTGACAGTAATCACATAGTTACTGGAAATGTATATATGTCTGATACATAATGATTGTCCATCTTCCATGTAAATAATAGTAATAATTTCAAGGATCTCTTGAAACATTAGAAATAGTTCCCCTAATAATCTTTTGCTGTTTCTTATTAATTTTAAAGCTATTCCAAGAACTGTAAAAAAAAAAAAGACAAACTCAACATCAGGCAAAAGATCAAATTAGGATTCACAGTCAAATCTGACTAGCCAAAAAAGCAAAACTAATAACATATGCTATAATAGTGATATTAAATGACATTGCGGACCACTGAAATTATTAATGGGGACCATGCTCCCAATGATCTACATCAGGGGTGTCAAACTGCCGGCCTGTGGGCTGGATGCGTCACGTGGAAGCCACACCCACCCCATTGCCAGCAATGGCAAAACAGTCCCGATACGTTGCGCGATGTCAGGTGATGTCGCGAGTTTGACATGTCTGATCTACATTATTACAGCCTCAAAACACAATGAGCATTATTCTTTACATATTGATTTGCTGTTCCTTTATAGCTATGTCCAAACAAAACAGCCAAATCTGCCTGTATTTGTATCAATGAATTGTTCTCTTTATGTACAGTCATTCTTCAAAAGCATACAAGTGACTGTTACTAAAAATACAAGATCATGCATTCCAACCAAGCTATCAGTATGGTATGACATCTTTCAGCTCATGCAACTTTACTTCTTAAAGATTTTATCTCAATTAGAAAACAGGCAAAGCACAGCTAACAGCTTTTGCTGACAGTGACACTGGGCAGTTACATTTCATCTGTTGAGCTTTAAAAAATTACAGAGGTGAACTGCCTGTTTTCAATGATTCAAGTGATTGATTAGCTTATATGTCTTCCCTCACTTCCCCCATGTTTAAAGCCAGGAAAATTCCTAATCACTTTCAAGTTCTTCTTTAATTTAACCCCCCCTCCCCAGTTTGACCCCTTCAAACATCTGACAAGAGTGATTGGTCCCTTCCTTGCCATTCAACTGGATGGGAAAGAGGGAGACAGAAAAGTGGGGAGAGTCACTGAAGAAAGCAAATGACAGAAGAGGTTGCCCTGCCTATTTTGGATTCTTAACCCACATTGCCGACATGTGATCTCCAAAGATTACAGCTGTTCTTAGGATTACAACTTTTAATGGGAAAAGAATGGATCTCCTATTTCAAGTTACAGCTCTGTGGCCCTGCTATTGCTGAAGACTGAACCACCTTCGTTCAATCTGTGCACTTCATTGTGTTTCCATCTACTGAAAACAATTTAGCATTACGGTACCAATTTCAGTAAATCACGAGCTCATTTTTTTTTCCTCTGTGTTGCTCAAATATGATAGCAGAAACAAGAAAATTATTTTCCCTTTTTATATGGATTGCAATTTGGTGTTATGTCTAATAACAATAACATGGGCAGATTACTGCTTCTTTAGACTACTACTATTTGGAATTGCCTCTGAAGATTACCTAGAAGCATGAATCACATGCATTCCGGGTCACAAGGGATAAATGGTTATAGAAGGCTAGAGCAGTCAGAAAATCAGCACTCTTGCTTTGTTGCTTCTCCATTCTAAAAATGAACACAGCTGCATATGTCCCACTGATTTCAGCAGTGAAGATATGATGAATATCTTCTCCATTCAACTATTAAACATCCTTAATACTCCTTTTTTAAATGCATGTCCTCTGTGTTTGTTGTCACTGACAAATGTATTTATGTTTATTGAGTTTTACTCTTAAATTTTGTGGAAAGGAGCAGAACGCTTGAAGCTTATTTTCCAACACACTTATAATTGCTAACACTGGTGAGGGAGGGACAAGATTAAAGGGTCTTCAAACATTTGCATGCAGGAGCTAGGATTGTTAGTTAAAAGGGTGTTACCCCAAAATTTATTACAATTCTATTTTTATATAATTTTTATTTTTGTGATTTGGCTATTTTGAAGTGGTACTTCATATATTTTGGGAGATTTGGTGCATCAATCCAATTAAAACTTCCTTGACAAAGTAAATAAATAAATATGCATTGGACCAAAGTTAAATAATGCCCATGCTTAATCCAAAGTAGGGCCTCTGACTATTGTGGCAGATTTCCATTTGTCAGGTTTATCCAGGCTGGGATTTCAGATGAAGTGCTTCATTTTAAATATCAAAGTCTCCAAAGTATTTGCAGAGAAGTTCAGTTCAGTTGCCACTCATATTGAATATTTCAGCTATCAAGGAAAATCTAAAATATGTCCTTGAATATTAAGCTGAATGTTCAAGTATTGTACATATTTCATGGTACTTACACATTTATTCTCTCTCTCTTTTTCCATAGGGGAGCACACTGGAAGAGAGACAATAGGAACAAATAAACTTTCTTGCCAAAAATATAGCAGTGCTAATAATTAGAAAAAAGGCATGCATCTGGGAGGTCCATCTATTTCACTCCTTGCTTAAAAGAAAAGAAAAAGAAAGGTGTACAATAAATAATGTGGAATAGATTCCAGTTTATGACAGTTCTGGAACAGGTTTTCTAAGAATGAAATATCAGGTAGAGCACAAGTAGTATTGTGGAAAAGGGAAAACATTTTGGGCATATCTTTTACGCAATTGGGTATATATTTACTATATAAAGTATTGCTTTCCTTGAGGAATCACCTTTCAATAAAATACATCTTCTGCAATTCAAATCTTATTTAGCATTTAACTGCTCCACCATCAAATTAGCAGGAACAGCAAAGGCTAAAGCTAATGAAATTAACAAACCTGAACTGAACTGAAAATGGCAAAGTGAAATGCACATGTCTTTTGACAAAATTCAGTAATTGACCTGTTTTGGCAGTAACTGAAGCAGGCAGTACCCCAAAACAATTACTGAGAAAAGCACCTGAAAGAGAATTTTTCTGGCCAATGAGAAAAAAAAGGTACAGTTTAAGAAATGGTTGGTAATGGATTTTAGCAGCAATGCTTGCAATAATTCTCGCCTTTTTCATATTAATGCACAGGTCTCCATAACCAGCGTGGCCAAACTGTAATTGTTAGATCCATGCAGTAGTGTCAGGCTTAAATGCTCCCCTCCCCTCATGCTGTACAATGTATAAATGTCTTTTTGTTTGGATAATAAACTGAATGCTGAAATAGTCATGCCAGGAAATACCACTTGTCACTTTCATCTTCTCTTTCAGGAAAGAACACATATTTTGAATTAAGAAAATCAAGAGGAATTCTCTCTCTCCAAATTCAAATATCAAACTGCCAGATAAGTATGTCCATATGAACTTAATAATGTGGTGGATCAGAACAAAGTTGTCCACCAGACTCCATATGTTTCATACAGCCTGTTGCAGTATTTGCTTCAAAAATATAAGACATTATGTCAGAAATATCTGTTTGGAGAAAAAATACATTTAGACATGCTAATGTTTAATTTTGAAAGAGAAAAACATTGTTATAAAATACGTATTATTTATATATATATATATATATATATATATATATATATATATATATATATATATATATAGTATATGTCTTCCAATGCCAACTTGTGGAGTGAGATGAGCAGCAGACCCAAAATTAGATCCAGCAGGTTCTCTGTGCAACAAGCCAATTGGTATTCTAGTACCAAGCTTGGATAATACATGCCATATTGGCCTGTTCACTCCCCATCTTATGGAGGAAGAGCCAGGCCTTAATACTGAAAGCCAAGCAGCTGCCAATAGCAGCTTACACCTATAACAAGAATCCAGCCATCAGATCAGAAAGAGGTATTAATACCAAATTGTTAACCCTTCTCTCTTCTAGAAAGGCCAACCCAGTATCCTCCACCATATTTCTCTCAAGCTATGGTGGAATAGTAAGAAAAAAAAATCCACAATATTCTAGTCTACATCCAGAAAGAAAGCAACGAGGAACCATTGGCCTTTCCTTCTTCAGTCATCCATTCTTACACTTCAACTCTCCTAGGCACCCTCCTGTATGATATAGGGGCCCCATCCTGGCTTATACTCTCACTTTATATTTGTATTATAAGTATATAAAATACTTATATAAGTATTTTAGGATTTACTGTATAACACCTGAGTTTGTGCAACAGATTAAACTTGTTAAATGAATTCACTCACCTCTAAATTCATTCATTTGTAGACTAACTAAAATAGCTCTTTCCCTCAATATGTTAATTCAGTGGCCCCCAACCTTTAGGGCCCCCACCTTTAGGTTCCATGGAGAGAGGTTTTTCCATGTACCAGAGAAGACATGGTTTCACATAGTGCCCACATCCCTCAGATGAAGCTCACTAGTTTGCGAGGCCCAGTTTCTGGCATGCCACAGCCTGGTGCCAGTCCGTGGACTAGAGGCTGGGGGCCCCTGTGTTAAACCATATAATAATAGAGCTGGAAGTGACTAAGAGATCATCAAGTCCTCCCCAACCCCCATCCCCACCCACTGGGTGACTATACAGCCTTTGTTTGAAACCTTCAATGAAGGGGAAGAAACCACTCCATGCAGTAACCTATTCCACTGATTGACAGCTCTTACTGTCAAGAAGTTCTTCCTAATGCCTATTCTGAATCTATATCCTTGAAGTTTCATCCCAATAATGGGGTGGAGCAAGTGAAAAGTCAAACCCTCTACAATGTGACAGCACCTCTAACCAGGAAGAGAGATGGACATATAAGTTGCCTATAGCTTCTAGAGTATAAAATTAAAATGAATTATCAGGCAGTATCTCTCTAATTAGGGGCAACATGCTGAACCTGGTGAGAGCAAGCCAGCAGATCCAGATGAACTAATTCTTAAAGTTCAAACTGATCTCAAGTTTGAATATTGAATGAAAAGCCTCTGGAATATTTATCAATGGGATCATGTATCTTCTAATGTAACTCAAACATACATACAAGTTAAAATCGAGCTTGTCCACATTTATATAATAGTCATAGACTAGTACATCATATTCTGTTTGAATAAGATCACACATATTAGCTAATATGCACTATGTTTGAAATTCTTAAAATGGTAGCATTTTCAGGTTAAAATACTGAGTAGCATAATAAGCTAAATGTGAAAATTTTAGGATCTTGAAAGAAAAGCATGTAGTTTTAGGACCATATTATAATCATTCCTTGGCAGATATAGTTTACACCACATATTGTCTATATGGTTATTCTTATATAGTATGATAAATACTTTATGCACCTAATATAAAACAAATGCATAAATTCTTTATCCTACTTTACTGGTGTTGAACAAATAATGGGCTTGGAATTTTTCATGAAGAAATCCATTTATTATCATAACTAACATATTTTTAAAATAAAAAAACATATACATTTTCATCTATTTGTTTAAGTTGTCATTTTAAAAAGATATTACTTGGATATCATCTCACCAAGTTGCCATCAAGATACTAACACTTTGAAATGATGATCTGAAATAGTTATCTTTCTGAATTCAGAACTGGAATTAAAAATTCTCATAGGTGTATTCTAATGATATACATACTAGTGTCTTGATTTAATTGATTCTGTGTCGTTACATTGTTCTCGACTCCTAGATAGATGTTCACCATGATGATCTGTCCCTTCAACTCTTCCATTGCCTTTGTAACTAAATCCACCACCTTGATGCTTGTCATCCTCTTCTTCTCTTTCCTTCCAGCTTTCCCATCATTAGACCCTTTTCTAGAAAGCTAGGTCTTTGCATAATGTGTGCAATATTGGTGAGATAGATATTCCATAAATAAATAAAGCTTCATTGTCATGCTTTACTGAATATTTCAATTTTTAAAAATGTGGTTACATTTGCTTCAATTTTAACCTCCAAAAAGATCATTTTAATTAAAAACAGAACTTCAGTCTCTTTTCAAAATGTAACCTCTTCAGGCCAATATGGATATCCTTAATCACACAATTGTCTATGATGCATTAGCTATTTGCATATTTCTTTCTTTTCTGTTTATTTTTTTTCAAGATCCATGTTGCTTCACAAACATCAAATCACCCAAGTTTTCATAAATAAGATTTGTAGTTGTAGTTGTAATTTAGAATTATGACATCCCAAGCCTATGGCCTTGAATATCACCTTATGTTAGTTCCTCCATAAAGGGAAGATTTCAAACTTGAAAGAAAGGCTTTGTTGGAATACTCTCCATCATTAACTCTTTACGTTTGGTTTTGTCCTGGATCAGATTTTCCTAAAATGGATTTTTTTTGCCAAATTTTAAAAATCTAAAAAGAAATCTGAAAGGTTTTGGAAATAAGGTTAGAATAAACATTATACCATAAAAGTTTCTTTCAATACTTCATACATTATCATAGGATGCATGTGCTTAATTCCATTGCTTGATGGAGGTTGACCTTTAGTCTGGCTTTGAAATCTATTCAAACAAATAACCAGGTAAGATATAGTTGTAATAAATATCCAAAGTTACAATAAGGTAAGGTTTTTTTCCTATTAAATATTGAAACACTACAATTTCTTTGTAACCATGGTACTTTTAAGAAAGACATACCTAGAGAACTTTTTTTCCTTTCCTTTCCTTTCCTTTCCTTTCCTTTCCTTTCCTTTCCTTTCCTTTCCTTTCCTGACTATTGCAATCCTTCAGGAATCTGGGACAGGCAGGAGATAATTCATTGCCCATACATCCTGAACTGTAGCTTCTTTCCAAATGATATTTCCGGAATGGAAAGTTAACAGATCCAGCATATGACAGTTTTGTAATCCTAGCTCCTCCCTTAGCTGTAAGTCTCTAATGCCAGGATGAACTCATGTGGAAGAGTAAGATTTGCTTGAGTATCATCTTTAAATATGGAGTGTGAAACAGTTGGAGACCTGTTTTTAAAAGTGTAACCTGAACCATTGGAAACTAGAACTTGCAGTGGGGCTTAGCAACAAAATCAACAATATAGAGATAGTTTATGACATGTGATCACTAGTACAGAAACAAGGTTGCTTAAATATAGATTTGGTAGATATTAGAGTATTTCTGAGAAGTACACATCAAGCCTGAGACAGATGCTGCTAATTCATTGAGAGCTTTAGACATTTATTTTTACTTTTAAATACTCAGCTATATTTATCCAAAAGATTTACCACTACATTCCTGACATATAGGTATGCTAGTCACTTTCCACTGTCTAGACAGAACAATATACAAAACTGAAGATAAGAGCTTTGAAAGAGGAGAGAGAGAGAAAAAAGTACTCTTCCTCGACAGCATGGCCCTGGATAATGTGATCTTCCTGTGGATTGATTTATAATAGCTTTCTCTTTCAAGTCATATGGGTAATTCCAGACTTGGGGCAACATACCCACATCCTGCAAAACAGATGGATAGATATCTATATTCATCACAGCTAGCTCTATGCATTTCAGTTGAAGTCAATATATAGAAATGTATAACTTTTTAGTACCAAGAGTCTGGGGATAGATAGATAGATAGATAGATAGATAGATAGATAGATAGATAGATAGATAGATAGATAGATAGATAGATAGATAGATAGATAGATAGACAGACAGACAGACAGACAGACAGACAGACAGACAGACAGACAGACAGAATCACATTCTCCAATTAGCCTGAAGCGCGGGCTTTCTCCCCAGCTCCTCAGCCTGCCAAAACGTTATCAGTTTGCATTATTATTATGGCTAGCTGAGCTCAAGCATTCACCCCACCCACCCCTTCTACACCTGATTTCTAAATAGATGCAAAAGCATGTTAAAAGCAAAGCAAAAATGGCTGCAATTTCCATCAGTTATCAGAGCAGGAACATCCATTGTTACAGCGTTGACACTAGAAGTTTGAAAAACATCTTTCCTACTATGGAAGTAGCTACTATACTCTGAAACCAGAATCAAGAAATTCACAGTAAGGTCCAATCAAAGTAAAAATACTTATATATAGCAAAATCATTTCTATATTTTTAACTTATCAGAGATTATGATATAAATAAATACTTCTTAAAATGAGTAACATGGGCTACAACAGCTTTCAAATAAAATTGTTCCACAAAGTAACATTGAGATACAGTTAATGTATTTATTTTTAATTACTTATATTTTTCCTACCATTCCACTGTAAACTGACTTAGCCTAAATTATACATTTGAATATTTTCAACAATTCAAAAAATTTTAAAAATATAAATATACCATTTATCTAAAAGTAGTTTTTATGAAATTGACATGTTGGTGGTAGTAAAAAAATAAAATAAAATTGGCAGGCTAATAGAAGCTTTAACCAATCATTTACATTGTATTCT